GTTGTGGTTGGTTGGCTACAGTACAGTTCTTGGCAACATTTTCCTGGTTGTGTGACAAGTTGGCAGCCAGAAGGTATCTTATCAGGTGTCCACAGAGGACAACTGGAATGAATGGATTTGGTTTTAAATGCAACTCGGACAGAAGAGTTAAGATGATCCTTTCTATAAGAACCAGAAACAAGTTGTGTCGGACATTTGAACATGCGATGACTACAAACTTACAGAGAGTGTGAGAGATAGAGAACTTACGAGTACGTATCATAACAGAATGGTGCTTTGGTACGTGGATCAAAACAAATACAAGTCTTGCACCCAATTACTCTCCTCTCGTTCCGTGCCAAAAGTTGCCCATCCAAAACACACTTGTCTGTAAGAAGCAAAACTCAATGGGTTTATCAATGTAATTTGTATACGTACAGGAATTATCTACGACTATATTGCAGAAAACTCAATTAGAAGTATCGTGTTTGATACCTTAAGGATTATTTTTATTTGTATTAAATATTATATGCCTCTTGCAGGATTTAAAACAGATCACGTTGTATCTACTTTTACACAAATGCTTAATTTAGTCCATATGCCTAAGTGTGTTTGTGGTTTTATTCACTAATTTTGTTTTAATCAAAACTGCAAATTTTCCTAACCTACCTAAAAATTTAAAAAGTATCAAAAATTGAAACTCTTCCAACGGTGAAAAATGGTTAATAAAACTGACAGCAAAAAATTGTACAAAACAAATATTTATCCATAAGAGTAAAAAACAAGTTAACTATTGTTTTCTGTGTTCACTTACCCTTTGGTATTTTACACTCGTACGTCCCCTCTTTAGGTTTTAAATGACAATGTACCGGGTTTCCTTTGGCGTCTCTGGGACACGGGTTTGGGTCACATGGATTCTTAGGAGCCACGGTAGATGGCGCCGTAGGTATCATCGTGGTTGACACAGCATTGACTGCCCCGGACCCGCTACAGTCGAGCTCCGGACAACATTTCCCAGGAGGTGTGATAAGCTGGCACCCAGGTGGAATCATATGTGGAGACCATGGTTGACATCTTAAACAGAACATGGGTGTTGGTATTTATAACATATCTGGAAGTGTCTCAGTATCCCTTCTTTGAGCAATTGAGATGTAGATGCACGTGCATGTCACAGTTCATAATTCTTTCGCATAAAATGTTTTCATTCTATCAATATTGGTTTCAGCTGTGTTGGTTCATTTTTACGTACTTCAAGAGAGAGAGAGAATATGGACAGTTATGACGAAGAAAGGGTTATGGTTGAATGAGAGACAGAGATAAAAAGAGAGAAGTTACTTACATGCTACTACAGACTGGCTCTTTGATGTGTGGAAGACGGCAAACACAAGACTTGCACCCAATCACCATCTTTTTGTCCCGTCCTAAGAGCCATCCATCAACAACACACGTGTCTGTAAGAAATGAAGCTGGATTGATCTCTTTGCTTTCGGCAATGTGATTTGTAAATGTATTGTCTGTATTTTAGTATTGCAGGAACCGGAATTCGGACTGCCATGCTTGATGTATGTCTGTATGTCAACATCACTTTTTTATTTGCATTGAAATCTATTTGATTTTGGATTCAGAAGCAGAATAACCAGCTTTTCTCTTTCACATACATGTTTACTTTTTATTCTGTGTCTCGTAACATGCCTGTGATTGTGTTATGTTATGTTTATTTAGTTAATTACATCTCCTGATTACCTGAATTCTATAAAGTGTGCACAATGCAAAATCTTCAAGGCAACACAAATGGTAAACAAAACTGACAATATAAATGAACCAAAGTAGACAACTAACTCAAACATACGTATATCCATTAGAATAAAAACTATGGAAACTAAGTTGTTCTCAGTTCTCACTTACCCTTTGGTATTCTACACTCGTACGTCCTCTCTTTAGGTTTTAAATGACAATGTACCGGGTTGCCATGAGGGTCTTTGGGGCATGGGTTTGGGTCACATGGATTCTTGGGAGCCATTGTACTCGTGACGATAGATGGCGTCGTGGGGACTGTCGTGGTTGATACAACATTGGCAGCCCCAGACCCGCTACAGTCGAGTTCCTGACAACATTTCCCAGGAGGTGTGATAAGCTGACAGCCAGGTGGAATCATATGTGGAGACCATGGTGGACATCTTAAACAGAACATGGGTGTTGGTATTTATAGCATTTACTAACATATCTGGAAGTGTCACAGTAACCCTTCTTCGAGTAACGCGTGCATGTTCATAATTCTTTGGCATGGATTATAAATACACATACTGATAGCAAAGCTCGCATAAAAAATTTCTTCTATTAATATTGGTTACAGCTGTGTTGGTTGATTTTTACGGGCTCAAAAAAAAAAAAAAAAAAAAAAGAGAGAAAGAGAGAGAATGGACAGTTATGAGGAAGGTGAGGTTACGGTTAAATGAGAGACAGAGAGAGAGAGAGAGAAGTTACTTACATGCTACTACAGACTGGTTCTTTGATGTGTGGAAGACGGCAAACACAAGACTTGCACCCAATCACCATCTTTTTGTCCCGTGCCAAGAGCCACCCATCAACAATACACGTGTCTGTAAGAAACAAAGCTGGAATGATCTCTTTGCTCTCGGCAATGTGATTTGTAAATGCATTGTCTATATTTTAGTATTGCAAAAACCAGAGTTCGGATTACCATGCTTGTTGCATGTATGTATGTCAACATCACTTTTTTATTTGCATTGAAATCTATATGAGTTTGGATTCAGAAGAAGAATAAGCAGCTTTTCTCTTTCACATTCATGTTTACTTTTTATTCCGTGTCTTGTAACATGCCTGTGATTGTGTTATGTTATGTTTATTTAGTTAATTACATCTCCTGATTACCTGAATTCTATAAAGTGTGCACAATGCAAAATCTTCAAGGCAACACAATTGGTAAACAAAACTGACAATATAAATGAACCAAAGTAGACAACTAACTCAAACATACGTATATCCATTAGAATAAAAACTATGGAAACTAAGTTGTTCTCAGTTCTCACTTACCCTTTGGTATTCTACACTCGTACGTCCGCTCTTTAGGTTTTAAATGACAATGTACCGGGTTGCCATGAGGGTCTTTGGGGCATGGGTTTGGGTCACATGGATTCTTGGGAGCCATTGTACTCGTGACGATAGATGGCGTCGTAGGGACTGTCGTGGTTGATACAACATTGGCAGCCCCAGACCCGCTACAGTCGAGTTCCTGACAACATTTCCCAGGAGGTGTGATAAGCTGGCACCCAGGTGGAATCATATCTAGGGTCCAAAACTGACACCTGGAATAGTGTACGTTTTTTACAGTATGCATGCATACTTTCATATAGAAAGCGGCCACAGTATGCATATAACTAAAGAAGTAAAATTAAAACTCGCTTTGTTAAATTTGTCAAAATTTCATTTCACATTTCTAAGTGATGAGTGGCGTTATTAATTGAGAACTGAATGCGTGTGCATGTTTTTTTTTTTTTTTTTTTTTTTTTTTTTTTTTTTTTTTTTCAAAATTTTTTCGGGGGTTTTAATTCCAAATCCAGTAGCAATGTCCTAACAGCTCTGTTGATGATTTTTAGGGATGTCGATTACTCTCTTCAGAGAGAGAAAAAGATCTTTCTCCTGGGCAGCAAAATCTCACCAGAGAGAAAGGGGGAGGGAGAGAGAGAGAGAATAAAGGTAGGGTTTTAAAGAAAGAGGGGGAAGGAAATTGGATGACAGAGAGAGAGAGGGAGAGCTTACGAGTGCGTATTAATACAGATCGGCACTTTGGTACGCGGATCAAAACAAATACAAGTTTTGCACCCAATTACTCTCTTCTCGTTCAGTTTCAAGAGTTCTCCATCTATAGCGCACGTGTCTGTAAGAAACAAGCGTTGCGCTTTAAAATTGTTAATAATAATTCAAAGGTTTTGCTTTCTATTGACCTAGAAATTAACAGTGGACATAATAAATAAACTGTATAATTTTTGTACTCTGAAACATATTAAAATATGTGCAATCCTAAAAGAAAAAAACCTAAACTGAGAACACGAAAACATCTTCAACACTCACTTACCTTTTGGTAATCTACATTCGTAAGTCCCCTCTTTAGGTTTCACATGACAATGCACCGGATTACCTTTGGCGTCTCTGGGACACGGGTTTGGGTCACAGGGGTTCTGGGGAACTGTTTGTGTTTTGTTTGGATCAGGATTTGGTTTTGGTTCTTTTGGCTTGTGACGAGTTTCATGTTGCTGGGTTGCAGGGTCTCCCGTGGCAAGGTATGGGTTACTGGTGTCGCGTTTGTGCTTATTCTTTTCTTCTTGGTCAAACACATGTTGGAAGCTATGCTCATCTACATAATCGGCGTTGAATATGGAGGTCTCGTGGTTTCCTCTAGTGACATCTATCCATCTGCACGGTATTCTAGGCTCTCTTGGAAGTGCGTCATCGCCATCGACGTCATTCATACAGACATAACTCCACTTTCCGTCATTGAACATTACGATCATTTTACCTTGTCGCGTACCTTGTTTTGCGGCACCAATTTGCTGGATTACAAAAATATGAGAAATTAGTCTCTTCGACATTGTAATACTTTAAAATTTAGTGGCAGATCACCTTTGCGTTTTACTTCACACGTTTGAAAATTTACCAAGGTCATATCTTCTACAATATGTGTATAAAGCAGACCTTATAAACAATATTTCGATACGTCGATATTTCATTTTGAAACGTACAGGAAGACAAGGCCGCCAAAAAGTCGGTTCAGTTATTTAGAGCTTAAATATTTCATTAGAATTGGTGTACTTAATATCTTAGTGCAAGAACTTTCCGTACAATGATTCATGAGTAAGGGGTTTTTTTTTAGAAGGGAGATCAATGATCCTTAAAAAAAAAAAAAAAAAAAAAAAGGATAGGATACTTGTGAAAAGTAATTATTTCAGTTGATAAAAAGCCATGAATACAGTGGTTTAAGGGGAAACGCCATATTACTTTGAAGAAAATATATGTATAATTGTGACTTACCAGCGTGGATACCGTAATACCCACGGTCAGCAATAAAAACCACATATTCGCCGCGTACGCCCAGCAGGGGAAAGTTGAACTGAGACTACAGCGTCTCAGAGGAACGTCTGCTCTAGACCGAATTCCAGCTGTGTAAGTCACGAAAGGTGACACGATGTCCTGATTATCATTTAAGGTGACACGTACTGAACTCGAAACGGGGACACAGTGTTAGACTAGGACTGGGTTCCCATACCCAGATCGATCTATCAAGATCGATCCATCTCCGAGGGGTTTCTCGCTAAATTGCTTTCAGCTTAAGCGGCTTAGATGTCTGGCACAGCTACTGAAGCTGCAAAACGATAATTAATTACCCCCTAGCAGCTTCAAAAGGCGTGACAGACGTTTATCTAAAACGCTCAACTTGATTGTAGTTTAGCGAGAAACCCCTTGGTGATAGATCGATTCACACTTAGTACCATAGGGTCTGGGACGGGGGCCATAAGTAGATAGCAGCGGAGGGGGCTGAGGGTGTTCAACTTTTTAATTCTTTAGAAAAAATTTTTAAAATAATTTTTGTCCTACCGTGTATGTTGCGATGAATATGATTAACGCAAATCAATGTGATAAAAAAGGCTATCACTTTTCTCATTGATTTATTTTTGTTTTAGATCATGCTATGAAAGTAGAAAGGGAAGGTAAAAGTGGTTGGTTGCTGAATCTGACAGAAATAGATAATTTTTTTTGAAATTATACCGATAACGATAAAACCTGCTTTTTCCAAACCAAGATAAGGATATACATTCCATAAATGTTGAATGGTTAGTCTTCACGTCCTTAAATAGCAAGAAGACATCTTAAAGCAAGTCTATGAAATATTGAGCATGCACACGATTACGCACATCTGTGATCAAAGACACGCTCGCACATGTACAAGCACAGACACAATCGCATTGACATACCTGGTTTTAAAACGATTAGAAACACGTACGTTTAATTGTCGATGGCAGATATGTTATTTAAAAATCCCAATTATTTTTCTATCCCTTTTAACCCTCGCCCGGACGGGAATCAGACAGGTGGTTCAAACTTCGTTGTGGATGATAACGGCCAACAGGTGATTACGTTTTCTACACGCGTTCGTGTTGTCAGACTACAAGGACAGCACACTAAGTAAATCTGTTGTTGGCATGGTGCCTTTATGCACTAGTGGATTTTGGTCTTATTTCGATTGTTCGATTGGCTTTTAACGATAGTAAATGAACTGACTGATCCTGAGTATGTATGTTCTGCATGTGTGTTTTAAAGAAAGAAAAAGAGGGATTCCTTTTTCTCACGAGTTCTTTAATTTAAACAGGTCGGCATTTCAAATTTAATCCCCGGTCATTTTCCTGTTTACTTTGAAACGTTTCGTAAATAGCATTTATACGGTACTGGCATTAGTATGAATTTGTTATGTTTTATATAAACAATGGTTTGGCTTAAAAGTTTTTTTACGTTTTCCTTTTTGTTTCTTGCTTGCTTTTAACAAAGTAGCATTTCTGTTTTGTGCGACATTGTCCCATACCATCCAGATTTTTGTGGGAGTCTAGATATTAGGTCCAGATTATACAGGTAGGTCCTCAGATAAGCCAAATTAAAAAAAAAAGCTAAATTTCTTTTTGTTCAAATTTCTCTCTGTTTGAAGCTATCAATAAGTCCAAGTTCTCTTAAACAAGATCACAGAAATGTCCATAATTTTTATTTCCTTTTTTTCCAACCCGAAAATCACGTAACTGTCTAAAAATCGTCAGTGATAACCTGTATGTGAGGTCTCACCAGATTCTGCTACCTGAACTTTCAATAAAGTAAACCATTGGGGGAGTTCAAAATTCAAGCCCTCTTATAAATTCTCTTAAAATTAATTAATGACAATATTTAACTTTGAGGGTTTAATTTATTAGTTTTAGGCGTATAATTCTACACAAGCAAAATCTTAAAGGGTCATGTCATAATAACGTGCAATTTTTCTGATTCTTATAGAGACTGGTATTTAATAGCTCGAATTTGTACGACTTATCTCAAGGACGACCGCAAATCGTCGTATATTAGCAATAAATACAGTGATTTTAAATGAATCTACATGCACAGCTAAAATAAAAATCTAAAACATTTTCTCACGCAAAGTGCTGTTTTTATTACGTTTGACATGGCGAGGAAAGTATAATTCACTTGACTTGTGTAAGTTACGTTACTGTGTCACCTCATTTAACGTTTTTCCCAAATAAATGTTCAATGTCTAACATTTGCTGTTGCCCTCAGATACGATGCAGATGGCGGCACTGCATTTTACTTCCCCAAAGGAACCGCTGCTGTCCAGCTACAGTCAAGTTCTTGGCAACAGGAGGGGTGATAAGCCGGCAGCCAGGTGGAATCTGATCAGGGGTCCATCTAGTGTGATACATCAACATTTAAAACCACAGTAGTTTGTTTCCACATGGCATAACATTCAGTATCTATGTATTAGTTCTTGCATGTATTTATCTTAATTAAACATTAAACGATATAATACTTTGATAGCTTTTAGATTTACTTTGATTGTTTTTGTCTATATTCCACTGTATAAGCCCAGATACAAAAAAAAAAAAAAAAATGAAGTTCTTCAACACATTTCAAAATGCATAATCATTATATAGTATGTTTATAGAAAAGGATTGGGCAAACGCTAATAAATAAAAATGGAAACTCAAAATAAAGTAGAAAAATGTGCACAGAAAGAACTTACCATCTGGTTTGCCACACTTATGTTTCCCGTCTGCATGTTCCACTTGACAGGCAACAGGCTGACCTTTGGCATCTTTAGGACACGGGTTTGGCTCACAGGTTTTCAGGGGGGCTGGGGTGGTTGTGGGAATACTTTTCGATGTGGGTTTCATTGTAGTTGTGGTTGGTGAAAGTGTGGTAGATTTCGATGATGTTGTAGTAGTAAATTTCATTGGGGAGGTGGTTGGTGCAGATGTAGTGGTGGGTTTGGTTGTCGTTGTGGATGGTGAAGGTGAGGTGGTGGGTTTGATTGTCATTGTGGTTGGTGTGGTGTGGTGGTGACTTTAATTGTGGTTGTGGTTGGTGTGGTTGTGGTGGTGAGTTTCATTGTGGTAATGCTTGTTGTGGGTGTGGTGGTGGGCTTTGTTATGGTTGTGGACGTTGTGGGTGTGGTGGTGGGTTTACTTGTGCTTATGGTTGGTNGACAGAGAGTGTGAGAGAAAGAGAACTTACGAGTACGTATCATAACAGAATGGTGCTTTGGTACGTGGATCAAAACAAATACAAGTCTTGCACCCAATTACTCTCCTCTCGTTCCGTGCCAAAAGTTGCCCATCCAAAACACACTTGTCTGTAAGAAGGAAAACTCAATGGGTTTATCAATGTAATTTGTATACGTACAGGAATTATCTACGACTATATTGCAGAAAACTCAATTAGAAGTATCGTGTTTGATACCTTAAGGATTATTTTTATTTGTATTAAATATTATATGCCTCTTGCAGGATTTAAAACAGATCACGTTGTATCTACTTTTACACAAATGCTTAATTTAGTCCATATGCCTAAGTGTGTTTGTGGTTTTATTCACTAATTTTGTTTTAATCAATACTGCAAATTTTCCTAACCTACCTAAAAATTAAAAAAGTATCAAAAATTGAAACTCTTCCAACGGTGAAAAATGGTTAATAAAACTGACAGCAAAAAATTGTACAAAACAAATATTTATCCATAAGAGTAAAAAACAAGTTAACTATTGTTTTCTGTGTTCACTTACCCTTTGGTATTTTACACTCGTACGTCCCCTCTTTAGGTTTTAAATGACAATGTACCGGGTTTCCTTTGGCGTCTCTGGGACACGGGTTTGGGTCACATGGATTCTTAGGAGCCACGGTAGATGGCGCCGTAGGTATCATCGTGGTTGACACAGCATTGACTGCCCCAGACCCGCTACAGTCGAGTTCCTGACAACATTTCCCAGGAGGTGTGATAAGCTGGCACCCAGGTGGAATCATATGTGGAGACCATGGTTGACATCTTAAACAGAACATGGGTGTTGGTATTTATAACATATCTGGAAGTGTCTCAGTATCCCTTCTTTGAGCAATTGAGATGTAGATGCACGTGCATGTCACAGTTCATAATTCTTTCACATAAAATGTTTTCATTCTATCAATATTGGTTTCAGCTGTGTTGGTTCATTTTTACGTACTTCAAGAGAGAGAGAGAATATGGACAGTTATGACGAAGAAAGGGTTATGGTTGAATGAGAGACAGAGATAAAAAGAGAGAAGTTACTTACATGCTACTACAGACTGGTTCTTTGATGTGTGGAAGACGGCAAACACAAGACTTGCACCCAATCACCATCTTTTTGTCCCGTCCTAAGAGCCATCCATCAACAACACACGTGTCTGTAAGAAATGAAGCTGGATTGATCTCTTTGCTTTCGGCAATGTGATTTGTTAATGTATTGTCTATATTTTAGTATTGCAAAAACCACAGTTCGGATTACCATGCTTGATGTATGTCTGTATGTCAACATCACTTTTTTATTTGCATTGAAATCTATATGATTTTGGATTCAGAAGCAGAATAAGCAGCTTTTCTCTTTCACATTCATGTTTACTTTTTATTCCGTGTCTTGTAACATGCCTGTGATTGTGTTATGTTATGTTTATTTAGTTAATTACATCTCCTGATTACCTGAATTCTATAAAGTGTGCACAATGCAAAATCTTCAAGGCAACATAAATGGTAAACAAAACTGACAATATAAATGAACCAAAGTAGACAACAGACTCAAACATACGTATATCCATTAGAATAAAAACTATGGAAACTAAGTTGTTCTCAGTTCTCACTTACCCTTTGGTATTCTACACTCGTACGTCCTCTCTTTAGGTTTTAAATGACAATGTACCGGGTTGCCATGAGGGTCTTTGGGGCATGGGTTTGGGTCACATGGATTCTTGGGAGCCATTGTACTCGTGACGATAGATGGCGTCGTAGGGACTGTCGTGGTTGATACAACATTGGCAGCCCCAGACCCGCTACAGTCTAGTTCCTGACAACATTTCCCAGGAGGTGTGATAAGCTGACACCCAGGTGGAATCATATCCAGGGTCCAAAACTGACACCTGGAATAGTGTACGTTTTTTACAGTATGCATGCATACTTTCATATAGAAAGCGGCCACAGTATGCATATAACTAAAGAAGTAAAATTAAAACTCGCTTTGTTAAATTTGTCAAAATTTCATTTCACATTTCTAAGTGATGAGTGGCGTTATTAATTGAGAACTGAATGCATGTGCATGTTTTTTTTTTTTTTTTTTTTTTTTTGCAAAATGTATTCACGTGGACTTTAATTCAAAATCCAGTAGCAATGTCCTAACATCTCTATTGATGATTTTTAGGGATGTCGATTACTCTCTTCAGAGAGAGAAAAAGATCTTTCTCCTGGGCAGCAAAATCTCACCAGAGAGAAAGGGGGAGGGAGAAGGAGAGAATAAAGGTAGGGTTTTAAAGAAAGAGGGGGAAGGAAATTGGATGACAGAGAGAGAGAGAGAGGGGGGGGGGAGAGCTTACGAGTGCGTATTAATACAGAACGGCTCTTTCATATGCGGATTAAGACATATACAAGTTTTGCACCCAATTACTCTCTTCTCGTTCAGTTTCAAGAGTTCTCCATCTATAGCGCACATGTCTGTAAGAAACAAGCGTTGCGCTTTAAAATTGTTAATAATAATTCAAAGATTTTGCTTTCTATTTTTACAGTGGACATAATAAAGAAACTGTATCATTTTTGTACTATGAAACATATTTTAATAAATTATTTTAAAAAATATGTACAATCCTAAAGGAAAAATAACTTAAACTGAGAACATGAAAACTTCTTCAACACTCACTTACCTTTTGGTAATCTACATTCGTAAGTCCCCTCTTTAGGTTTCACATGACAATGTACCGGATTACCTTTGGCGTCTCTGGGACACGGATTTGGGTCACAGGGGTTCAGAGGAACTGTTTGAGTTTTGTTTGGATCAGGGTTTGGTTTTGGTTTGTGACGAGTTTTACGTTGCTGGGTTGCAGGATGTCCCCTGGCAAGGTGTGGGTTATTGTTGTCGCGTTTGTGCTTATTTTTTCCTTCTTTGTGTCCAAAGACATATTGGAAGCTATGCTCATCTATATCGTCGGTGTTGAATACGGAGGTCTCGTAGTTGCCTTTAGTTACATCTATCCATCGGCACGGTATCCTAGGCTCTCTTGGGAGTGCGTCAGCGCCATCGACGTCATTCATACAAACATAACTCCACTTTCCGTCATTGAACATTACGACCATTTTACCTTGTCGTGTGCCTTGTTTTGCGGCACCAATTTGCTGGATTACAAAAATATGAGATGTTAGTTTCTTCGGCAATGTAATATTTTAAAACTTATTAGACAGATCACTTTTGCTTTTTACTATATGCGTTTGCAACTCTAAGTCATATATTCTACCAGTATGTGTATAATTCAAATCTTATAAACGATAAAAAAACCTCAAATAAAAGTATCTGACGTCGATATTTCTCTCTGAAACGCGCAGGAAGACATGGCGGTCAAAACGTCGATTCAGTTATATATTAAGAGCTTATATATTTGATTTGAATATGTGTAAAATATGTAAGTGCATGGACTGTCCGAGCAATGATTCATGAGTAGGGAAAATTGTTTCTTTTTTTCAGAGGGAAGATCGATTATTCTAAAAAAAAAAAAAAAAAAAAACCGGATAGGATAGCCTACTTGTGAAAAATAATTATTTTAGTTGATATAAAGACATAAAAACAGTACTTTAAGGGAAATTACATAATACTGTGAAGAAAATAGATGTATAATTGTGACTTACCAGCGCGGATACCGTAATACCCACAGTCAGCAATAAAGACCACATCTTCGCCGTGTACACCCAGCAGGGGATAATTGAACTGAGACTATAGCGTCTCAGTGGCACGTCTGCTCTAGACAGGATTCCAGCTGTGTAAGTCACGAAAGGTGACACGATGTCCTGATTATCATTTAAGGTGACACGTACTGAACTCGAAACGGGGACACAGTGTTAGATTGGGACTGGGTTCCCATACCTAGATCGATCTATCAAGGGTTTCTCCCTTAATTGCTTTAATACCCCCTAGCAGCTTCAATAGATGTGGCAGACGTGCATCTAAGCCGCTCAAGTTGATTGCAATTTAGCGAAAAATCCCCTCGGGGATAAATCGACTCACATTTAGTATGATAAAGTCTGGGACGGGGATCTTAAAGTAGATAGAAGCGGAGGGGGCTGAGGGTGTTCAACTTTTTAATTCTTCAGAAATTTTGTCCTACCGTGTATGTTGCAATGAATATGATTAACGCAAATCAATGTGATTATAAAGGCTATCACTTTTCTCATTGATTTATTTTCGTTTTTGAACATGCTATGAAAGTAGAAAGGGAAGGTAACAGTGATTGGTTGCTGAATCTGACAGAAATAGATAATTTATTTTGAAATTATACCGATAACGATAAAACCTGCTTTTTCCAAACCAAGATAAGGACATACATTCCATAAATTTCGAATGGTTTGTCTTCACGTCCTTAAATACATTAGCAAGAAGACATCTTCAAGCAAGCCTATGATATATTGAGCATGCACACAACTACGCACTTCTATGATCAAAGATAGGCTCGCACAAGCACAGACACAATCGCATTGACATACCTGGTTTTAAAACGATTAGAAACACGTACGTTTAATTGTCGATGGCAGATATGTTATTTAAATTTCCCAATTATTTTTCTATCCTTTTTAGCCCTCACCGGGACGGGAATAAGACAGGTGGTTCAAACCTCGTTGTGGATGATAACGGCCAACAGCTGATTACGTTTTCTACACGCGTTTGTGGGGTCAGACTACAAGGACAGCACACTAAGTAAGTCTGTTGTTGGCATGGTGCCTTTATGCACTAGTGGATTTTGGTCTTATTTCGATTGCTCGATTGGCTTTTAACGATAGTAAATGAACTGACTGATCCTGAGTATGTATGTTCTGCGTGTATGTTTTAAAGAGAGAAAAAGAGGGATTCCTTTTTCTCTCGAGTTCTTTAATTTAAACAGGTCGGCATTTCAAATTTAGTCCCGGTCATCATTTTCCTGTTTTCTTTGAAGCGTTTCTTAAATAGCATTTATACGGTACTGGCATCAATAAAAATTTGTTTTGTGCGACATTGTCCCATTCTATCTAGATTTTTGTGGGAGTCTAGATATTAGGTCCAGATTATAGGTCCCCAGATCAGTGAAATTCAAAATTAGCTAAATTTCTTTTTTTTTCAAATTCCCCTCTATTTGAAGCTATCACTTAAGTCCAAGTTCTCTTAAACAAGATCACATAATTTTCGATAATTTTTTATTTCCTTTTTTTCCAACTCGAAAATCACATAACTGTCAAAAAATCGTCAGTGATAACCTGTTGGTGAGGTCTCACCAGATTCTGCTACCTGAACTTTCAATAAAGTAAACATGGGGGTGTTCAAATGTCAAGCCCTGTTATAAATTCTCTTAAAGTTAATTAATGACAATATTCAACTTTGAGGGTTTAATTTCTTAGTTTTACACGTATAATTCTACACAAGCAAAATCTCAAAGGGTCATGTCATAATAACGTGCAATTTTTCTGATTCTTATAGAGACTGGTATTTAATAGCTCGAATTTGTACGACTTATCTCAAGGACGACCGCAAATCGTCGTATATTAGCAATGAATACAGTGACTTTATATGAATCTACATGCACAGCTAAAATAAAAATCTAAAACATTTTCTCACGCAAAGTGCTGTTTTTATTACGTTTGACATGGCGAGGAAAGTATAATTCACTTGACTTATGTACGTTACGTTACTGTGTCACCTCATTTAACGTTTTTTCCCAAATAAATGTTCAATGTCTAACATTTGCTGTTGCCCTCAGACACGATGCAGATGCGGCACTGTATTTTACTTCCCAAAAGGAACCGCTGCTGTCCAGCTACAGTCAAGTTCTTGGCAACAGGAGGGGTGATAAGCCGGAGCCAGGTGGAATCTGATCAGGGGAGTCCATCTAGTGTGATGCATCAACATTTAAAACCACAGGCATAACATTCAGCATCTATGTATTAGTTCTTGCATGTATTTATCTTAATTAAACATTAAACGATATAAGACTTTGATAGCTTTTAGATTTACTTTGATTATTTTTGTCTATATTCCACTGTATAAGCCCAGATACAAAAAAATGAAGTTCTTCAACACATTACAAAAAATATAATCATTATACAGTATGGTTATTGGAAAGGATTGGACAAGCGTGAATAAATAAAAATGGAAACTAAAAATAAAATAGAAACATGTGCACAGAAAGAACTTACCATCTGGTTTGCCACACTCATGTTTCCCGTCTGCATGTTCCACTAGACAGGCAACAGGCTGACTTTTAGCATCTTTAGGACACGGGTTTGGCTCACAGGTGTTCAGGAGGGCTGGGGTGGTTGTGGGAATACTTTTCGATGTGGGTTTCATTGTGGTTGTGGTTGGTGCAAGTGTGGAAGATTTCGATGAAGTTGTAGTGGTGAATTTCATTGGGGAGGTGGTTGGTGCAGATGTGGTGGTGGGTTTGGTTGTCATTGTGGTTGGTTCGGGTGTGGTGGTGACTTTAATTGTGGTTGTGGTTGGTGTGGTTGTGGTGGTGAGTTTCATTGTGGTAATAGTTGTTGTTGGTGTGGTGGTGGGCTTTGTTATGGTTGTGGTGGTTGTGGGTGTGGGGGTGGGTTTACTTGTGCTTATGGTTGCTGTGGGTGTGGTGATTGGTTTTGTTGTGATTTTGATCAGTGCCGGCACTGTGAGATTTTTTCAATTTTGGCCAGGTAGGGATGAAAAATTTTTTTCTTCGTTATAGTGTCAGGTAGGTGTGTTCGGTCATTTGTAGTAAGAATAAAGTGCTGGAAGAGTGGTGGTGTCA